TCAGATCCCACAGACAGTAAGCTGGGCACGGTAACGCTTGTAGAAGCACTGTGGGGGCAGACAGGCACTCACTGGGGTTCACTGGCCAACCAGACTGGAGTAGGTATACACACTTGGATATGAACTCTGTATAAAATTAAAAGAATTTTATATAGACTGATCATTGTGCTAGACTGATAAAAGAGCATACTTCTAGAGGGAAACAGAGGAGGAGGGTAGAGGCAAACAGCAGCTTTGACTTCATCCGTATGTCTGAACTTTTGCAAAAAAACTGGGCCACTTCCCAAATTAAAATGCACTAAATTTAACCAGTTATCTCAAAGGTTTACCTACAGATGACATGCACCTCAACGATGATAAACTTCCAATATATCATTTCTTTCTTTCCAAGCCAGCACTGACTGTGTATTAATATATACTCACCCCCAGGTAAAGACTTATCTTTATCCACAATATTATTCTCATAATGGAATTCATAACCAAAATGTTTTACAATTTTGGGTTTTAAGAACTTTTGAACTGCATAAAGAAAATAAATTCAACATTATAAGGAATTGCTAGGTAGTGGCAACTTCTGTTAATTGTGAAATTACTGTTTTAATAGCATGAACCATTTTGCTTATATTGTTTATTTTGTTGTGTTTAAAACACTTCAGGAGTTTCACCTATTAACATGAGAGAAGTCCATACACTGCCACTCACAGGGCTGCAAATGATCTGGAGACAGATAGAGCAGCTCTTCAGGCAGAGCTTGTTCCTCAGGCTCTGTCCATCTTATTTTTTGAGACAGGGTGTCACTGGCCTTGAACTCACCAAGAAAACCAGTCTGGTTAGCCAGTGAACCCCAGTGAATGCCTGTCTGCCCCCACAGTGCTTCTACAAGCATTACCATGCCCAGCTTACTGTCTGTGGGAATTGGCTCAGGTCCTTGTGTTTGCAAGACAGACATTTCACTGACTGAGCCACCTCTCAGTCCTAAATTTACCTGTCATGACCATGGCTGTATTTAAGGCTTTCATAACATGTGAAATTACATTTACGACCCTGTAAGAGTTCCACTTTGAAAGGCATGTGTTTTTAAAATAATAATAATTTAAAATACTTGAACTAAATGGAATTGTGGTTTGAAGGACAATGCCCCTCAAAGGGAATGGCACTATTAGGTGTGGCCTTGTTAGAGGAACGGTTTCACTATAGGGGCAGACTTTGAGGTCTCTTTTGTTGAAGCTTCCCTCGGTGTATGACAGTCAGTCAACTTCTTGTTGCTTCTGAGTCAAGATGTAGGGTGCTCAGCTCCAGCACCACATCTGCCTGCATGCTGTCATGCTCCCCTCCATGATGAAGATGAACTGACCATCTGAAACTGTAAGCATGCCCCCTCAATTAAATGTTTTTTATTTATAAGAGTTGCTGTAATCATGGTGTCTCTTCACAGCAATAATAACCCTAATACAGGAATACTTTTAAAATTTTGCTAAAATGTTCAAACTTATTTCTAACATAAAATCTACAGGTTGAGCCTCCCTGTTCTAAAAGTCCAAAATTCAAATATTTCCAAAATCTGAAGAGCTTATGGGGTGTCCTGCACTACTGAGTGCTTGCAGGAATCCTCAGGGCAGAGAGGAGCTGTTGGGAGACAGGCTGATCCAAGGCTTTCTCATGAAGACTGAGGGAGGTCCTGATGAAAGGACTAAGGGAACACTAGTTCCATGTCTTTGCCTATTGGCAGACCTGGCAAGGTCCACTCTGGAGCTGGGGCCAGGGCCTTGAAGGAGTGAAGGTTTTAGTTTATGGGAACCTAATCTTTCCCCCATGAAGAGACTGGAGTTATTAGTCTCAAGTCTCAGTCTGTGGCACATGTGAGATATCCTGTGTTCCTTTGTGCAACATTGCTGGATTAGCTTTCTGCTGACTCTACCCTATTTTACCTCTGTACATTGTATTTAAGATAAGATGCTGTACTTCTTCTTCCTTTTGTTTTTTTTTTTGTTTTGTTTTGGTTTGTTTTGGGGGGGGGTTGTATTTGTTTGTTTGTTTGTTTCTTGAGACAGGGTTTCTCTCTGTAGCCCTGGCTGTCCTGGAATTCACTCTGTAGACCAGGCTGGCCTCAAACTCACAGAAATCTACCTACCTCTGCCTCCCAAGTGCTGAGATTAATGAAGGTGGGCATCAAGGCTCTTAACTGTCATTTTCAGAAGTAAAAATGCTGAAAGACCCACACAAAATGTAAAAGCAAAGACCAAGATAAGAGTTGTACTGTACATTACTCTCCATAGTCCTCTTCAGCAAAGAATGGCACTTAAGTCTTCTGTTTGCACATGATTGACTCACTTTCTAAACCTCAGAGACAAGGCTTTGCATACTACTCATTGTATGAACTGCTATAAAAAAGAAGTTAAGAGAAAGACAGCACAAAATAGGAACAGAAACCACATAATCATGTCACTCAATATAGAAAAGGCTTCAACAAAGTTCAACATCCCTTCAAGATAAAAGCTCTGAAGAAACTATTAAGTAGCCTACCCAACATTATAAAGGCTACATATACAAGAAACCTATCACTATCTATGTTGAACAGAGTATAACTGAACTCACTTCCTCTAACATCAGGACAGCAGTGAGACAAAGGTTCACCTAGAGAAAGAAGCCAAGATCCACCAGAAAACTCTTAGACCTGATAAAGATGTTCAGCAAAATAACAATACAAGAACAACATCCGCAAATCATGAGCTTTTCTGTATGGTAATAATGAAGTAGAAGAGAAAGAAATCAGAGGGAAACAATCTTTTTCATGGACAAATGAGTAGAACAGCCAGTTCTCAAAAAAAAATAAAATATAAAAACAACTAAAATTCTGGGAAAAAATGTTTCATATCCTTATCCAATAAAAAAGTAAAACTAAACATTTATTTGGGGTCTATACCCAGGA